CCCCCCCAAAAAAAAAAAACTAGATGTAAGCTTTGAGGGAAAGCACCAAGTAAATTTGTATGGGTGTTTCAAGGGCAGGGTTGTGTCTGGCTCTCCCCCCATCACTTGTGCAAGGCCCAAATACATGCTGATCAATAAAAGAGTGAGAGGAACGGGCATCCACTCACACCCACACTCTGTCCTGGTGATGTATCCTGGGCACTTGCCAGGAGTCAATTAAAGGTTAGGGAAGTGGGCCAGAGACAGGGCCAGCCAGCGTGAGCTCACACCCTAGCAAGGCTGACACCAAGTGATGCTGGACTCCTGCTGCCCAGTAGGTGGCAGCATAGGCCAGGAATTCATGGAAGGATGAATAAGTGGCATAGTCAGGAGGGGCCACCTGAGGTTCACCCCACCCCACCACCTCAGTCTTTAGAAAGAAGGGGCCACTGAGCACCTGGAAGGCAGAGGCAGAGCGTGAGTGCAGGAAGCAACAGAATATGAGAGGTGGATCAGAGAGGAGCCTGGGCTACTGACCCTTGCTCGGTGCCCAGCCTTTGCCCTCTAAAGCCGTAGTTGAAGAGAGGAAGGCTCCCTTAGGGCAGCCATCCCCCAAGGGCACCATGGGCCCATGGCACCCTGGCATGATGGGCACTCACTGTGGGTGGCCCCGATGGGCTTGTCGTCCTCCTCGCTGTCTGGTCCTGAGCACCATTCGTCCCCACTGTATGGCTGCTTCCGCTCCAGCACACAACGCCGCTTGCTCCGGGGTGCCACCTCTGCCCAGGCAGGACAGTCAGGCAGGGGTCAGAGTGAGTGCCCGAAGGCCCTGTCCTCCCACACCCAGGCCCATTCTCCCAGATATCCCAGGGCAATGCCCAGGCTATGGTGGGCACTTAGCCAGCCCTTGGCCCCCACCACATTACCATTTGTTTCTGATTTCTCTCTATAGCCCCACTGCCTGTCTCCCCTCCCCCACCCAGCACGGAGCACAACTGGTTCTAATTAAGGGGGGGGAGCCTCTGCTACTCTTCCAGGCTAGTGGCTGCTCAGCAGCTCCCACCAGCCCAGATACCAGGAGCTTCCTGGGATGTGTAGGTCTGCTCCTCACCCCAGAGCACCTCCCTCTTCCCCTATAGGGGTTCTGGTGGGAAAGCAGAAGAGGAAGGAGACTGACCAGAAACCCCATCATCATTCTGTGTGGCTCCATCATGGGTGGCACCTAAGGATGACAAATCTCCACCCTGGCCACCCCCAATCCTGAGAAAAGGACCAGGTTGGTGGGTATAATGTGGGTAAGAGAAAAGTGCCCTGCATAAATGCTGGAGAAGCAGGGGGTGAGGATCAGGCAAGTGGGACAGAAAGATGATCTCCCAGCAAGTTTGGGCCTTGGACTGCAGAACATGCTGGACTCTTGGGTATCAGAAAATGGGGTACCTTTGGCCTCTGAATCCAGGGATGGAGTCCCAGCCTCTCGCTGCTCTCCAGAATCCACAGACACACTCCGCTCCCTCTTCACTTTGCCCTTGAGTGAGCTGAAAGGGGGCACCCCTGCCTGGGTGTTCTTCAGACTTGAGTTGCTAGGTGAAATCTGGTTGGCCTTGGCCCCATGGCTCCCCGCCCCCACACCCTTCGAGCCCAGGTTGCAGGTGGGTCCTTGGTTCACATTCTGATGCTGGGATTGGGCCCCACCATTCCCTGTTTTGCCATGATTGGTCAACTTATTTTCTGGGTGCATTGGCTTGGATGGGGCAGGGGGGCAGTGGCCGCGGGGGGACAGTGGCGGGCTCCCTGGAGCTTCTCTCCTCCTGGGGTGGGGTAACCTGGGAAAAGGTGAGAGAGACATGAAAAGTTAATCTTGATAGGGGCTTAGCATGCCTGGATTTTAATTGCCCCATCCTGCCTCACCTAATGGGAGGGGAGGGGAGGGCTGAGTGGCATTTTAAGACTACCAGCTTATTCCCTACCTCCTTCCATTGCTCCTCAGACAAGGGCTGATGCCATTCACCTTGGAGAGTGAAGATGGGGCAACTCCCTACACCCCTAGCCCCCACAATTCAAATGAAAACCAGAGCCTTTCCTTGGCAGAACCCACCCACACTCCCCAGCACCCATCAGGCTGCAAGCCTCCATGGCACCACCACCCTCACACACACTAACACCTGACCAAAACTTAAGCATCCTCTCTTCTAGGGTTTGCTGCCTTCAGATTCCTTCCAAGGTCCCAAACCTCAACTTCCACGTGTCCCAACACCCACAGGAAGGGGCACAGGACCTGAGGGTCACTGCTCATGCCCCAGTCCCATTCCCCTGGGGAAGTGGGGAAAAGCACAACAGAGTGGTACCCACTGGTCCAGACAGCTCCCCAGAGCAGGAGGGGGAAAGCCTGAAGAGGGTTGGCAGCAGGCCTCGCGGGCCGGCGGGCAGGAGCAGGAAGAAAGGGGAAGGGGAGTGGTGTGTGGAGCAGGCTGGAGTGCAGCTTAAAGCCAAGGATTCCTGCAGCCTAAGCTGTGGGCCCTTTAAGATCCAGCTGGCTCCCCCCACCACCTCCCCCTCCCCGGAGACCTATTAATAGCCGCTGGAAAGATCACATCACTGGGAGAGGATATTTATCCCCCCTCATTCCACACCAGCTCAGATTTATTTCAGCTCTGCCGTCCTGCTGCTGCCGCCTGGCCCTGTCTGCAGGCTTCTCCTGGGGAAGGGGAGGAAGGCAGGCACCGCCCCTCCCTTGTAGCTTAGACTGAGGCCAGAGGGCGCCACTGGACCCAGCAGTGGGGTGGGGGGTGGGGGTTCTACTCAAACTGTTTTTAAGAGTAATAGGTTGGAAGGGACAACTAAGCAGCAGGCATAGCTGGTTGCCATTCCCCTCTGTCCCCTGGATCCAGGCACTAAGGCTGTGGGCTCCTGCCTCAGCACAGGCCTTCCCATTCTGACCCCCCTTGAGCTCACTGGTGGCCTGGAAGCTAGGTGCCCACGTTGGCGGGCTCTCCAAGCCAGCACAGCTCAGCCCCATCACTAGTGGGCCCTTCCCTTCCCCGCACTCCACACACACATCCCACCCTCCATGACACCCACACACCTTGTCTTGTTAGCCAGGATCCTCATGGCTCCCACACACAGTGGGGCTACGGCCCCTGTGCGTGCCCAGGGCCCAGCCAGGTACTCGGTACTGGAGCACGGACTGCAGCAACAAGCCCCAAAGAGAAAACTTGTGACTTGGGGAGGGGGTGTAAGGTGGGAAGGGGAGAAGGGAGGACCCAACAGCCCTGAGACTAGGGAACTGGATAGGGTAGGGTGGGGATGCAAAGGAACGACTACTAGGTGGGGTCTCAATCCTAAAGGCCAGTCCTATCCCATCCCTCCCGCACTTTACCCACAGGGGGCTTGCAGTCTCTAGCAAGGCCCCCGGGCCGAAGAGGCAGAATGCACTAAAAAGATAGGTTGCAACGGTGCCCACGTGTGGTGGCCCTGAAGTCTCTCTGGCACCCTGGGGAACTCTCTCCCAGTCACGCCCCTCACCCGGGCAGGGAACCCCTCGCGACCCACCCAGCCCCAGCTCGGCGCCCCACCCCGTGCCCCGCTCCGCCCTCAGCTCGGGGCCTAGCCCGTGCCCATCCCAGCAGGCCCGGGCGGGCAGCGAGAGGCCTGGCGGGGCCCCGGGGCTGCAGCTGGGCTCTTCTGGAGACCAGTAACGCTGGCTCGGATTCCTCCCCGACCGCAAGAATGCAGGAGCCTC